AGGCTGGAGGCGGTGCGGGGCCTCCTCTTCCCCGCCGCGCGGCGCCGGCGGGGCTGCCTCTGGGGTTTTGTCTGCAAATAAAAACCCAACAAGCCGATAAACAGCCCGGGAAGGCGGGCCGGGTCGTGAGGGTGACGCTGTGTAGGTGTATCAGCCGGTGTGGGGACCTGGGGCTGGGCGGGATGGAAGGGGTTAGACGTAGAGGTGACAGCGCTCTAGAGCAAGGATTGAGGAACTGAGGGGCGCGGGTGAAGCAGCTGGGGAAGTTTGTCGTTTACCTGGTGGCACAGGAGACGTGAACCAGGCCATGCCGGTTTGAGTCGGTGTCCTCCCCCTGCTACACTGCGCCTTTCCAGGAAAAACGTACCATTAATGCAAAAAGTGAAGTTCCTAGTCCCTTCAGATACTTTGCCGTTGTCTCTTTGCCGAGCCAGGACGTTTATTTTTGCCGTGCAGCTGAGCGGTGGGATGTTTGTCTTGTCTCGAATGCCTAAAGGTGGTGGAGTTTTAAAATTACCTCAAGGGAATTGGCTTTAATTGGAAATTGCCATCTGGTTTCCACCTCCCCTGCTGTTGAGTTTTGCTGGGAGGGGCTGAGCTTTTTACAGGGAGACTTGGTTGCCTGCTTTTGTCAGTTTTTAGCTGTAGGCTGGAGGCGGTGCGGGGCCTCCTCTTCCCCGCCGCGCGGCGCCGGCGGGGCTGCCTCTGGGGTTTTGTCTGCAAATAAAAACCCAACAAGCCGATAAACAGCCCGGGAAGGCGGGCCGGGTCGTGAGGGTGACGCTGTGTAGGTGTATCAGCCGGTGTGGGGACCTGGGGCTGGGCGGGATGGAAGGGGTTAGACGTAGAGGTGACAGCGCTCTAGAGCAAGGATTGAGGAACTGAGGGGCGCGGGTGAAGCAGCTGGGGAAGTTTGTCGTTTACCTGGTGGCACAGGAGACGTGAACCAGGCCATGCCGGTTTGAGTCGGTGTCCTCCCCCTGCTACACTGCGCCTTTCCAAGAAAAACGTACCATTAATGCAAAAAGTGAAGTTCCTAGTCCCTTCAGATACTTTGCCGTTGTCTCTTTGCCGAGCCAGGACGTTTATTTTTGCCGTGCAGCTGAGCGGTGGGATGTTTGTCTTGTCTCGAATGCCTAAAGGTGGTGGAGTTTTAAAATTACCTCAAGGGAATTGGCTTTAATTGGAAATTGCCATCTGGTTTCCACCTCCCCTGCTGTTGAGTTTTGCTGGGAGGGGCTGAGCTTTTTACAGGGAGACTTGGTTGCCTGCTTTTGTCAGTTTTTAGCTGTGGCATCGTTTGAAAGGGTCCTTGGGATAAACCCAACTCTGACAATTCTTCTTACCTTCTTAAATAGTATAAGAACTTAAAATAGTCTGTGTTTTGCTTGCTTTGGACTATAGTAGGAAAGTTTCTGTGTTCATTTCTGTTCACGTCGTCTGAGGGGCATGCACAGCTCTGAAGGGAGATGGGTATGTTGTGTGTGCAGGTGAGCAGATATGTATGGTGTCTGTGGCACAAGCAGTGCCACAGTTCTGTGGAATGCAGGTTTCATGGCTTTCACCTCCTGGCATCTTTAAGTTATGGGCCTAAAAACCTAGATGATACGATCTGATTATATAAGAGTAGGGAAGGAAAAACCTTGTATGCCTCATATTGGGAAGCCAAGTGAAGAATTTATCAAGATAGTTGATCTGCTAAGTGAGAGACAGTAATAGTGAGACATAACTTCACGTTTCTGTGGCTTCCTCATTCGTGTTCCCTTTCTCCTTTCTAAGGCTCCTTGAGCAACAGCAGGATGCATACTGCTGATTTTTCCCTAGAGTCTGAGACTTACCAATGACAGCTCTTCCTGCATGATTTGGCATTCTAGTTGTCTACAAATCCCTATTGGGGGATTTCCTTTTCACAGTTACAAGGCTACTAAAAAGTAAAAGTGGGGGGTAATCCTCTCGGTTCATACATTTGGAGGCCGGAGAAAGGAACCTAAGAAAACCCCAGGGCAGTCATAACTGCAGTTTGCTCTTCCAGTTTGCCTGTATGAGTGGGAGGACTCGAGCAAAAAGCTTGTCTTAGTAAGTTGCTAGCAAAGTGAGCTAGTAGGTAAGCGTCAATTCTAAGCACCTTCATTCAGCTAAGTTCTTCTTAGGGAACAAATAGAGTTTCGATTCCCTCTGAGTTTTTGCGTATTATTTTCTCCAGTAAAACATAAAGGCCAGGAGGCACTTGCCTGAATTACTATGCTGTTTGTGAAATTCAGTAACTGCAGTTGCAAATGGCTTGTGAACACAGTAGCAATACCAGGGTACGTGTCCTAAATCAGAATAGATTATTGTCACTGGCTTTCCCTGCGTTTGTGTTCTTCTGAATAGGCAAAGCAGAACCATGGGGGACAAAAAATGTAAGTGGTGTAGCTGCACTCATGTACCAGCAAAAATGTCACTTGCTGTAATTACTTAGTTTGTTTTGGAGAAGAGATTTTAAAAAACAACAACAAATTCTGTTGATACAAACTGTGTGAATTGTATCACACTGAACTGGAAAGGGGTTGTTTTAAGTTAACCATTAGGAAGAAATTTAGTGTGAGAGTGGTGAGGCAGTGGAACAGGTTGCTCAGGGAAGTTGTGGAGGCCCCCTCGCTGGAAATGTTCAAGGCCAGGGAGGCCTTGAACAATCTAATCTAGTGGGAGATGACCCTGCCCATGGTAGGGTGGTTAGTACTAGATGATCATTAAGGCCCCTTCCAACCTAAACTGTTCTATGATTCTGTGAAATGACTAAAATGGTAATGTTCATAGGTTTGATTTTTAAAGGAGCTGAGTAGGCAACTCTTGGAGAGAAAGGCAGGTTATATTATTATGAACTTGGTGATATTTTGCATTGCATTTACTGTGTTGCTTTAGTACGTCCAGCAGGCTGACAGTGTTACACCACAACGTTTTAGTTCTGTCCCCGTTTGTCACGTTGTCGTTGCAGGCCTTAGGCCATGTGCAGGCTGTCACCCTAGTCTCCATCCTCCCAGGCAGGCCTTTTGGGGTGCGTATGAGACTTTGTTCGAGGGGTTACAGTGGGTTTTTGACACAATTTTCTGTAATAGGTCCTGAGGGCTGGTCCCTCCCACCATTTAGTTATCGTTAAGTAAAATTTAAGATGCACAAAGGTTGTATGTAACACAAATTATTTCCTGAAAGGTAACTGCATCTTGTGAGTAGAGCCCATGAGACTGCCCGACAAACAGTTGTACATGCTAAGTCAAACCTAAGCTTGAAAGGACACCAGGTTGCTACTTCATCTTTCCTTGACTTGTTCTTTCTACTAGAAATTTCGTAATTCATGTCATGAATATAGACAACAAAGATAGCCCTTCTGTGGGATGCATGTTCTAGAGATGGACTTGGCTGTAGTAAGTAGAATGGAGGAAACAGATGGCAGTAATAGTGGTATCACCTTGCACTGAGTTTCAAATAGGAAGTAGAAATGCTGCTTTTCTTTTCCCTTACCTGTATCTCCAGTCTTTTGTGATGGTCACTATGGTCACTAAAGTGAATGTCCACTAATGCAAAGGAGGCATTTCCTTTTTGCCTAGAGGTCACAATCAGTGCATTTTATAAACACAGAAAATGAATAAATGTGACAAACTAAAAAATAAACTGGTTGTCAGTGTCATATTTTCTTACCTTTTCATTTCTCTTGTTGGTAACTGTCTTCTTTTTTTTTTTTTTTTTCCTTCTGTGGTAAAATTCGGTACCTATTCATCTTACTGTCCAAATGCTACTTTGTAAGATTTGAAATGCTGCCTTCTCACTCTCTTGGTCTTTGTTTATATCATATTTTGCTGTTAAAATGCTTACATTCACTGTCAGCGTATTAGTTGTAGCCTTTTATTGCTTTTGATAACGATAAATACGTTAAGTAAATCTTCATTTTGCTGACCTCTTTGAGGAGGCATTGCATCAGCAGATTTTCTCAGTTGACAGGTGAGAGATTAGCAGGAGTTGACTTGAATTTTTTTTTTGGTAGGACAGTAAGAATCATTGTCTTGCCAAAGAGAGATGTTTTAAGGGTACAGTTTCTTTGAAGGCAAGAGAGCCACATAGCTTGCGCTGGCATGGGATGGGAAGGGGAGGATAACGAAATGCTGTATTTCTGTGGAAAATGGTTTGGAATTATTAGTTTAAAATAAGCCTATATTAACAGCTGAATAATTGAGTGATAAAAGTTGGTTGGGGATAACTCGAGAATGTTGTTCTGCCTTGCAAGTCAAGACATGGGCATCTGCAAAACTTGCTGCTACTGCTGGAAGGAGGGAGATTTTCACAGGGACAAATTCTTAGATGATCCAGTCATGCTCTCTCTTAGGGTAACTTTCAATATCATCATAGTCAACTTGGTGCCACTGAGTGTCAGTGTGGCATAGGATTGCAAGTGCAAACACTAACTTAGTATGAATGGAAAAGATGGAAACATCTGAACTTTGAGTTGGTTTGCCTTCTGTCTCTTAGTAAGTCTTTAAAAAATACATTAGGAGGGAAAATACTGCTTAGTTATGTATTACATAGCTAATTTTCTGTTCATTCTTTGTGTTGTTTTCAGGAAACCAGGTCTAATGAGGAGTCAACAGATGAATCTGAGGTAAACCTGCTTAAAATGCTTCACTATTGATTCTCTGTCAGTGCTAGTTGTTTGTCAATAGGGAGGGAAAAATACTACCTCATTGGTTTTTTTAGAAGTTTTGCCAGTACTATGTAGAGATAAATGATAATCTGGGCTTAAATTATTAAAAAGGAACTGTGGTTTGCTATTAGAAGCTTCTTTATATTTTAAAAAACCCACAATCACCCCATTATAGTAAAATCACTTATGTTGAGAGAGAAATGCAAGTGCCCACATTTCTGTTTTGAATGAAAACTTAACTGTAAGTATAATTTTATATACAGTAATACTACATTCAAGTAATTACTGTGTTATTTTTTATTTTTAGTCTAGATGTAATCCTGTTCTGTGGAGTGTCTGTTATTGAGCTGACATTTTGTCAAAAATTGTCTCATGTTCTGGAGAGGTCTTCCTAGCCTGCTGTAGGTTTTGGAAAAAGTGGATTGAGGGTGGGGAAAGCAAGAGAGCTACAGTGGGTTCAAGAATTTGTTCCTGAACAGTAGTGTGCTACCACGATTATTGAAGGAACCATGAGAGATCTGGAAGGAGGTTGTTAACTTCAGTGTGGTCTAGGGTGGCTGCAGGAAGGACGAAATAAGGGTGGTCAAGCAGCTTCAGTTGTGGCCACCAGCAAGGACAGATTGATGCAGAAAATGGTAGAGTGTTGGAAGTCTGGGAGCCACTTTCACAAACATTAATGGTCTTGCTGTTAGAAAGACTTCCTGATTTTTACCTAGGGTCCATTCTTCATGCTTGGGGTCTGGGTCTATGCACTGAGCCGAAAACGCTCATTTCCAAGACAAGCAGGTACTGCAGAGACTGAAGTGGTGGATTTTGAAAACATGTTTTTGCAGAGTAAAGGGGCTTTGTTTCTTGTGGGATATTTTTTTTTCCCCTGTACTTATCATGAGTGTTTGTGTACAGTAACGCTTGGTGAAAATCAGGGATTTCTTTGGCCCTTTAATATTGCTGTGTGGAACAGCCACCTGGACCAGGTTCTTTTTTGCCCAGTGTTAAATGGTTTCATTCTGGATGTTGCTTTGCAATATGAAGTTCATGTAGACAATTACAAGACAACAATGTGGTATTTAGTTGAACAGTAATCCTCTCAAGGGTTGACATTCACAAGGTAGTGAACACCACTACTTACCTCCTGAGGTTGTGGGTTTTTTTCTTTAAATCCATTTTAAGTGAGAACTTTACTGGCTTTTTTAATGGCCTTCCAACATTTCAGCCCACAGTAAGTATATATTTACAGCAGAATTAATCATAAATGGGTTGACAGGTTATCAAGGTTGTATTTGCTTTTATCTTAAGTAAAAATAGGCATCCTGCAGCTTTCACAAAATTGAAAGTCATAAACTTTCAATAAGACCTTTGTTAATATTTCTGTCTATTTTTAAAGTTAATTTCACATGTGTAGAGAAGTGAAAAGGAAAATTTCATAGCGGTAATGTAGATGTTCCAAAGAATAACACAATTGTCATTCTAATGCCTAATAAAATGCTTTACCTGTGTTGTCTTTAGATCGTAAGTCAAACCTTTTGTGTATTGACAGTACCCAGCTAGCTGCTGAAATGGAACTTTGAAACCATGTTTAGAAAGTACATAAAGGAAGTAATGAACATTTTCAGTCTTAGTGTTTACATCACTCATAAAAATATTTATAAAGATTATTCAGATAGAAATATTAATGGTAGAATCAGAAGGTCTGGATGTGGCCAGTCCTTGCTTGAAGGTGTGGTCAGAGGCAAGATTGAACTGATAGCTCCACTCTTAGCTCTTGTGATAATAAAATTGAATTACTTCTTTTGGGTAGCTGGTAGTTTAAATAATGAAGGATGGATTTTATGGTTGCAGTGCTAGAATTGGAGACTCTATCCTTGCAGTCTGTATCCTTTTTTTACCCATTAAAATATAATATTTATGGCATGGGCTTTGTAGACATTATTATCATAGTAATACAGATGTTTGCATATACAATCACTCTTGCACTTGATTTAATTTAAATTCTTCCCATGAAATAGTTGTACTATAGAAGGCTTTTCTATTAAGAAAGTTAACTTCAAAATTCCTGGTTTTCAGTAAATGCTCTCTCTGTCAGAACTGTATGTGTAAACAAAAATATGGATTTTTTTTCCCCCCCCCCCTGTATTTTTTACACTGCTCTGCCATTATCTCAGTAAAGAATCAAACATACAGTGACTCTCTTATTCAGCAACTCTTCAAGTGTAATTCCTTTAGTAGCTTCTGGTGAATAAGATACTAATTCTAACTAGCTGCCTTCTTGGTTTGTTTTGAATGACAGGCTCTTTAATAAATGCCAGGATGCTTATTCATGCAGACTTGGTGGTAGAGCATTATAATAGGCCCCAAATGTGGAAGCCTGCAAAAAATTAACTATCTTGAATGTACCTTAGCTAAGAGCTCTTCATTGTAAATTTGTGTCTAACTCTTGCTTGCCAGGAAATTTAGTTCCTAAGGCTTCTTAAGTGGTTGATACTTTTCAGCTGTTTAAATCAGAATGAAAAATTGAAAGGCTTTAGTTAGAAGGTGCGTATCTTCAGATGTTAAGCAGATCTTTCAGTGTAGAGATGGTGGTAGTTAACTTGTGTGAACACTTGTAGAAATGTAATAGATCTTTCCTGGTAACTACAGTACAATTTAGACTTTTATTTCATCTCCCTACGTATGACACAGGGTACTATAAACTTTTCCTATAGACAGACTGCTCTAAATGATACCATGATATGATGTGGAAGCATTATCTCTAGCACCATCTTTTAATTCCCAAGAGAAAAAAAACTACTTGGTTTGCTAAGTAATACTGCTGCAGTCTTGGAAGTACAGTTGCTGTGGTTTTGGTTGGTTGTTTTTGGTTCTTTTGAACTGTGTTTGTCAAGTATATTTGCTTTACTTTTTCCAGCCTTGTCTGATCATCACATATGCTGCATTTGGGGCTGAGCTTGAGCAGATTGTTTGGTTGAAAAGTCCTAGTACATTGTGGCTTCATTGGCTTATTTAATTTTTTGTTTTACAGCACCTGGAGCTGCTTGTTTGGACTGCCATATTAGATGAAAACTTAAAAATAGACAAGAAAGTAATCTGATTTTGGCTGTTTGTAAACTGTGGAGGAAAAAAGTCTGCATAAATTACGTACAACCTGCATATTAATTTGATTTTTAAATTAATTTTCTTTCTTGCAATATGTTTGTTACTGGAAAATCTTACTTTTCCCGGTTGAGCTGTTTTCTGTCAAGCAGACACTAATATTTTTCCAGCTAATTAGCAAAAGTTAACTAATAAATGTATAAGTAAGTAGTTAAACTTCCTTCAGTAGCAGTGCAAAGTGGTGACAATGTGAGATGCACACTGGTTTTGTTTTTTTTTTTTGCATTTAAGTTGATGCTGCTGCATGCCTTGTAATTTTGTCTTTACAACTTCTGCTTTTAATGAGATAATCCTGTTATAATATATAATGGGCTGTTTTGGAGTGTTTTAAACAAATATTTATTTTAAATTAAACTTATTTAATTTAAAACAAGGAGTAATTATAGTACAGTAGTGCAAACAACTGTATGTGTTGTTAAATCCACGAATCACGTTTTCTGAAGAGAGGAACTAGTTTTGTACTTCATCATTTAAAAAAAACTTATTAAAGAGCCAGCTTGAATCTCCCTGAACTTCTGTGCTGCTCTGCACTATATTGCTCTAGAGTGTTTGTTTGCAGCGTGCTGTTGTTGCACAATATGGCACAGTCACCATTCATTATGTTACACTATGAAATCTTGTGCGGTTGGGCAAATGTTAATTTTGGTTTTGCTGTATATGTAGTGCATGAAACCTTCCCATTGAGACTTAATTTGTGCTGATAAAATATTTGTATTGCACCCTGGAAATCACTGGTCTGCATAAATGAGTAACGTTTTTTTTAGATAACTTTCTTGTAGCAGAAGAATGTTTGGATTCATGCCTTGGTGTCCTAGGACCTTCAGCTTCTCTCTCAGCCTCAGAGTTCATGTCCAAGTTAATTATTCTCTGCCTGTTTCTTGCCTGCAAACCCCTTTTGCCCCCTGCTTTATGAAGTGGAGCAGTGGTTTCCTATCTTTGAGAAGCAGAGAGAGGGTTTCAAACCCCATTTGTGTATGAGGTACAGATAAAGTTAGGATGTGTCAAAAGCCAGAACCTTCTTACTTGATGAGGTAATCAAAGCTAAGTTTCCATCCTGAAATTTGGTTAGTTATTTGTTAAAGTTTTCTGCTTGTTTCTCATTTACTGCTGGGGCTATGAGTGTATTGCCTGGAGCAGTATGTATCTTCTTTACAGGGAACATCTTTTCTAGAACAAGTCTGATTGGAATTAGAAAATGAGTTCCCACATCCCATTAAATGATCTGTGATTATGTGAGGATTTCCACTTTGATTTTTTGTAGGTGGTGCAGTACAGAGTATATTTTTTTGTTCTGTATTTTTTACCTGTTAAAGGAAACCACCAACAAAAATGATAGGTGGATGCAGATGCTCATTTTATGCAACAAGTTATTAAAAATGTTTTGTTTTAAAAAATATTACATTAATATGTGTGTTGCTGTTGTTTTTTTCCCATGTCCTTGTGTGTGTTGGTCCTCAGTGTTGCATATGGTTCCATTCTAAAACTTCCATTTTTGTATCTCCTGGGCTTAATTTTTTTTCAGCTTGTTTTCTGATCTTTGATCACTGGTACCCCATGAAAGGTATATGTTTGTTCATTTAGTTTATTCTTTTAGTTATCTAAATACTGTGTTAATTAATTCTGGGAGTGTTTGTAGAGAGGAAAGTATAAAAAAATTCTGGGTTAACCCAGTGCTCATACAGTTTATGATGGTTAGAAATAACCTTCATTGATACAATTTCCCCACTGAAATGGATAGTGGTTTTGTTCTTCAAGGTTTTTGAAAGCTGATCAGAGCAGAAACACAGTTAGGAAACATGTAAGCCTTA